TGTAGCTTGGCATCCATTAGCGTAAGTGAAGATCCATCATCGAAGAAAGCGTAAGTTTGAAGTTTGATATTATTCCCATGGAGTGTTACTGGCAACACCCGAAATAGGATCGAATCGGCGTCACTGCTATGTTCGTTTAACATAAGGTTAGCAAGTGGTGGGCTAACCACATCATCAGGATGTTTGTGCAGTAGTTGATGGTGGATTGAAGGGCAACCGTCTATACCGCAAGTCGTAGTAGACTGGCAGTTTAACTTATTATGCGCCTTTAAACAGCGACGACATAACCTATGCACGCGCACCAATTGCCAGCGCACAACCCTGTCCGCGCTTCTAAACTGATGACAGCTTCCAACCGAACTATACTCGCCGTGACAAACAATACATGCGACCCTTTTCCCAGTTCCGACGTTATTTGCATGTGCATTTAAATATCCGCGTTTGGTAGAAGTTCTGGGGGCGACGCTTGGTACGAGAATGCTATTCGCCCCTTGAGCAAACTGAAATAGCCATTCACCGAAACTTTCGAGATTTGAGAAAGTCAACTGCAATTTGTGCATGCCCTAAAAGGCTCTTGTTCCAACTCGGGATTGTTAAGGTGGCAGAACATGTTTGAAGCATGATGTTTTGCACCTCCAAGGTCAAATCTACGAGAGCCTCAAGGCGGTTTTCTTTAACTGCTGGTATTTCTCGAATTCGTGCCAGAAGCACGGCAATAATAAGTTCGGGACGTCCGAATTTCATTCGTAGTGTGTCGAGTATTTGTGGGACGCAGGACGCGTGTAAGAGCAAGTTTCTTACTGCGTTCCGTCCCGCTCCTTCTAACGCCTGACGTAAGCGCAATAAGTTTTCACCCTCCGAAAATCCACATAGTTCGGTGGTCTGTTGATATGTGGCCAGAAACAGGGGCCATTCTTCAGGTTTCCCGTTGAACTTAGGCAGCTCTTTACAAACACCATTGCGCGCAGCAAATTTGATTTTTGGTAAGGCAGCGTTGATCGGGTGGACGTGACAAAGTCTGCCCTGCCAGTTGTGGTTGAGACTCTGTTGGCGCTGACACACGCTAGGGTACCAATTTCGGTAGCCAAGTCATACCGATCGCGGGCCCGGCATGTGTTTGCACCTGCTGTTCAAGGGTAGAGAACTTCTCTTGCAACGAAGTTATTTGGTTTTGCACATTGTTGTCAGCTGGTGACTCCTTTGGCTGCAGAGGAGTGGCGGAAATACCGCCATGGTCACGGTACCGGATGCCTTCACCTTTATTCGGTGGCCCTGAGGTGGGCAAGGTGTGGCCAGTACCATTCAACCACTTTTGAACAGCGATAGTGTCCAAACCTTCATCGAGGTCTGAATATTCGTCTTCGGTTTCTACTGCAGAAGCTTTTTACGCCGATCAAGTAGAGCTTCCCTTTGACGCAGGATCCGCTCCTCTTCTTCGATTAGTGATGCTTCTGCACGGAGCCGTCGGGCTCTTGCCGATTTACTGCCAGGACTACTCCGACTCGACGTACCACCTTTTCCGGTTGCGGCCGTAGGTGATGGATGGGTCGCCTCTTGTGGCGTGAGTGCGCAGGCAGCGCCTTCCTCATGGCTGACCGTATTTTGCCGACCCTGCCGTATCTTTCTTAACACAAATGTTTGGAAAACGGGAAAATATTAAGCTTGATCACGTACTTCTCGGACTAAATCTAGTAAAACTATCAAAAAACCAAAATGTGCTCAAAGCGAGTACGGGATCGCTTTCAAGTAAAATGTGGCAAAATCTGGGGGGAAAAATAGTGAGTTTGGACTGGATACGGAATCAAGCATATTTACACCTGACTGGTTATCAGGTTTTCTGGTTAAAATTACAATTATCTAGTGTATTTGATTGTTTTTATGACAGTAGAAAAGAATCAAATAACCAGATGACCAGGCAGGTGTTTAGACAAACACCAAAAATTTATGCATCATTACAAATCAATTCTCGCTGAATATTTTCTGTATAAATGATGGTAAGTTAGTTTTACTTAACAGGTCTATTCTGCACGTTACCGAAGATTTTGTAACCGGAAAATTTTATTACCAAAAAATGTTACCAGTTCTTGTCACCACGTGGGTGAATGCCCACCCAACACGCCACATAATATACTTATGTAGACACATAGAAGTCTGTTGATTTTTGATTTATACTTTAAAATGCATTCGCAAGAGTAGTGTGAGTGGTAAATAAAAGCAGTAATCGTTGTTGGGAAGATATCTCTGCGGTACGTGAAGTATAACTACGGTGACCAGATTTATATGGACAAAAATCGGGACATTTCTAAAGCATCGAATCCAAACATACAATTTGGTTTTTAGAACGAAAATACATAACATCTTTCAATACAGTTTTATTTAAAACAAAACACAAGAGAAACAAGTAAATGATGATGAAGAATTATTGCAAGCACCAATTTTGAATAAGTTAGCTTTAGTCATGGTGGAATAATAACAAGGTGTTGTCAGTAAATTAACCTCACTTTTTCGGCAGGTCTATTCCGGTCACGCATATTAAAGTAGTAGAAAAGGTATTAATTATTTACTACTTTTAATCCGTTGGTGCATACTTTTTCAAATTAAATGTAGAAAAATGTATAATTACAGGCTTATAAGCCTGAATATATGTTTGTATCGGCAGCTCTACACAGCTTGGACATATATTGTAACTTTAAAAAAGTAAAGCCGGTAAAATAAGGCAATTTCCTATAAGACTGTAAATGATTTTTTAAATAGATTAAAACACATAAATATCGATAATATAGCGAATTCCTAATTTAACCATGCAGCCACTCTATTCTAGTGTATCAGTAGTCTATTTGGCTCAATATTATGACAATGCAGCAAAAGTGCTTTAGTATTTACTGATTTATCGAAGATTTCGTATTTCTCTAAATTACCGTTTTATGGTATGTGGGCATGGTTATTGTCCGATTTTAAACATTTTCAGTCGTTTGGTATGTTGTACCACGGCCAATAACTGTGCCAAGTTTGGGAGAAATAGGTGGAGCGATTACCAAGATATACACATGTAATCATAAGTAGGCGTGGCTACGCCCATTCCATTTTCCAAAATTTTTTAATATTATCATTTTTCGTTTAAACTTCCGTTATATGGGAGGTAGGCGTGGTTATTGTCCGATTTTGCGCATTTTCAATACCATACGTCCTACGCTGAAAACAAGTATGCGTACCAAGTTTCGTTAAGATATCTAAATTTTTACTCGAGTTATCGTGTGCACAGACGGCCAGACGGACGGACCGCTTAATCGATTTCTTTTTTCTTTCTGATACATTTGACTATATCTATCTATCTATAAAATGAAGCAAGAATGATAGACCGCAATATAGCGAGAGTAGCAGTTTGATAGAATACAACATAACCAAATATCATAGAAAATAATAATGTTGGATACGTTTATGTCTACCTTATATTCTATGTTCCTTGCGATAGCAAAAATGCTGCCAAGCTTGTCAGAAAAATGGTTTTTTGGGCCAGTGTATAGGGAAACTCTTAAATCAAATTAATAAAGCAAATCCTAAAAATCGTAATTTAATCGGAACAAATATAAAAATCGGGACACTTATACGTGCCGACTTTTAAGAAAAATTTTCAGTACGAATGGTCACCATAAGTATAAACCAAGAATGTTTTACAAGCATGAGCCTTTATTGTTGCGAAGGCAGGGGAGGTAAAAAGGAAATTCTAGGATGATTTCTTTTCCGACTCCTGAAGAACCAGGGTATTTCACTGCTCCAATAGCGGTAGATTTACACGGTTCAGGTTTTGTAGGCAGCGATTACCCTACGCCCAACGTCTATCCAGTTCAAGCGACTGAATCGCGTTGATTCATGACAGCCCTCCGCGTTGTTTCGGGAGTTCTTACATGGCTCCATTTTGGCGTTATAGGTACTCAGTCTAAGCTTATAGGACTTATTGACTAACCTAACTTTTGTCGAATTTTGGGTAATTTGTGCGAGAATAGGAGAATTTCTAAATATTTTCGCTAATTTATTAAGCCTCCAAGGAAAATAAATAAACTCGCACCTAGCCCGGTTTGCGAAACAGTCATTATTTATGTATTAACAATATAAATTCGGTTTTGTTCATCGCAAACATTCGATCAAAGTTTAGGTTTGAGATAGGCACAACCTACTTCATAAATCGTTAATACTACGAGTTTTCGATGAATATCTACAGTTTTTTTTTTTAATTACGCTGTGCGACAATCCAAAAAATCTGGGGAGTTATCCTAATTTTCCAAAAATATTGACTTACTATTAAAAACACGGTTTTCCGCACTTATAAGTCTGTAATTTAATTGATTATCAACCGAGTTTCGGTTCCTACTCGTTTAAAAAACCAGAAACCTAGACCTTTTGATTTATATTAGGGCTGTGCGATTATTCGATTACTCGAGCAAGTTGGTTAATCAATTATTCGGTTAATCAATTACTCGAGTAATCAAGATTTTGATTACTCAAAACGATGATTAATCGAGTTACTTGAAATATGATTACTCAAAAAAATAATTTTGCTCGTTAAAAGAGTTTACTTTGGAAAAAGCTTATTTTCTTTTACATTCTGTATATGAAAAAATTTTTCGTTTTAATTTTTGAAAACAGAAACGTTGTTTTCAAAGTGTCAAGGAACTTTAACTACTTTATACATATGTAAAGAGATGAAATGTTGATTACTCATTTTACTCGAAATGTTGATTAATCATAAAGCAAATTACTCAAATATTTTTGTTTTTGGTTAATCAAAAATCTTGATTACTCGAGTAACTGAACTTTTGAGTAATCATTATTTCCAATTAATCGAATAATTGAGTTATTCACTTTATGATTAATTAAAATTTTGAGTAATCAATTAATCGCACAGCCCTAATTTATATACATTCATAACAAATTAGAAAACTTAAGAGATCTGTGTGTTGTGCACAGCAAACACAAGTTTTGTTAAATTTTCTCGTGTTTTTTCAACTACTTTATAAAGGGCCATACTAGTAGTTCTTAAATATATGAAGAAGTATATACAGCAAACAGTTTTGAAAAAAATAAAATAACAAAGTGTAACAAGATTTCTTAAGTTTTCTAAATTGTTATATACAGCACTGAAAAGGTCTAAGTTTCTACTTTCCATAACTGGTAAGAAACTGGTGGATAATCAACTAAGTTATAGGCTTATATGTAAGTGCGCAAAAGTACTGAAAACCGGCTTTTAACGATAAGCCAAGATTTTGTGGTTGCTTGGCAAATTTCATACTTCGATTCTTGCTAGACCTACTTCCCAGGTATTCCTATTTCATTCTTTTTTGTAGCACAGCTTTAACAGCTTTGAGGTCTTGCCCTTACCGTTTAAATAGTGCCTGGAGCGTGCACGTTTCAAAGCGCCAACATCTGTGGACACTGAACCAGCAGTATCCGTGTCGATCGTTACTTTTGGTAGACGTAGATCATCAGCTGAAAAGAAACATTGTAACACAAAAATTGATATTATAAGGGCTCCAATTGAATGGATTTGGCACAAAGGACTAGCCTTTACTCACCCGAAAATGTGTGCTCTCTATTTGACGCATTCATACGTTTCACTTTAATGCATAAATGTATCATAAGAAACATGGTAATGTTCATCACAACGCTTTGAACAAGAAGCGGAAGCTCATATTGCTTGGAAAACCTGAAACAAAAGAAAAGTTAAAGACATTAGAAAACTAACTTCGTGATTTAATATGTATAATATATGTAAGCATGTAGGTAAGCATGTATTATAAAATACTTGAATGTTTAAAAATATATATAATTCTAATATCATTGTTTGAAGATTATATTTGCCTACTTTGAGGCGATATAACACAGCCAGTACAACCACGTGTAAGACTTTTGAAAGGCACTTAATTTAAATGCTTTGCGCTTATGCAAGTAAAAACGTAAATAGCATAAGTTTGAGATGCCGCAAACATTTGTTTTTGTACGCAGCTTTAAGTAACAAACAAACAGCAATAAGTAAATTGCGGCGCGGGCAAAACTTTTCAATTTATTTTTGCCATATTCTTAACATTTTCGTGGCAGTTTTCCGTTAACTTGCTCTAACACTGAGTACATACATATGTATATACAGTTGCGGTCAATAAGATAGCAAAATTCAAAATGATATTGTTTGAACTTATGTTTATTTATTTATTTTTAATAATTTTCATGTAAAGTTTCAAAGGTAAATTTAAAAAACCGCATTAAAATTTCAAATTTTTATTCCGAGTTTTTAGAAAATTTTCGAGTATGCACCTTTTAGCTCTTTCGATTTTAGTACAATAAAGTGCAAGTTCAAAATAGCTCAAAACTACCGTCGATATTTTAGAATTTTTTTGTCGAGGATGTTACGCATTTTCTTCCATATAACGCATGAGCAATATCTAATTTTATATGGAGAAATGCTCAACACCCTCGACAAAACAAATCTTAAAAATCAACGGTCTTTGGTCTAAAAATTCTGAAAGAAAAGTTTGAAATTTTGATGATTTTTTTTTTTACTTTAATTAATTTTTGTTAACTTTGTGCAACCTTTGAAAATTTTTTTATGAGGTTTCTGTTATACATCGCACTATATTTTTGAAAGTTGTTAAAAATGAATAAATATAAGTTGCAAATAACATCATTTTGAATTCTGTTATCTTATTGACCGCAGCTGTATATTCTTGATTTGCTGCTGGAGTGAAAGCAGAGAAAGAAAGTGTATCCTTGCTTTTATTTTAGTTAAGCAGAAAATAGTGAATTTGTTAGTAGTCGAAAATGTGTATATACATGTATATAAATATATACATACATATGTACATGGTAACGTAGGGCAATAACTAAAGTAACACACGGGTGAAAAATTGTGCAATCATAGGACTTACTAAAGACGCCCACCAATCTGAGGTTATTTGACTATACTTCAATATTCGAAGGACAACCACTTCTTGCTTTTAGTTTAAGAGTCAATGCAGGTTAGAGCTTTCTAATGAAATTGCCGCTTAGTCAATTGGCTAATATACAGAAGAAAGTATTATAAGTATTTTCCTTTTAACAGCATTGCACATTGCTGAAGCCATTTTATGGAATTAACGACTATTTACGCCCACTTTTGCTGACGCGGTACTTAACATTAGTACGTGTCATAAATTTACTAGAATTGCATAACACTTACATACATAACTAGATACATATATAAAGTGGCGCTGTCGTAAATAGCATACAATTATTTTTTACAATATTCGCCATGTTTTGCGTGATAAATTTTTTTACGATAATTTTCTATAAAAGTATAGTATTTTTAATTTTTCTTCCATACAAAGTATGTTCAACAATTTTGGAAAAAAAATTCGTAATACAGTCAGCAAAAAAAAAATATCAAAAATCAACGCGATTTTTTAGCAACTTCAAACTTGCTCTTTATTATATGTACAAGAATTTAATGGGCTATAAAGGCTCGAACACATGAAAATTTAGATGCAATTATGCAAAATTTTTACAATATTTGCAAAGTTTGAAATATGAATTTATATGGCTTTTGTTAAATAATGAGCTATACTTTTATAAAAAGATAATAAGTATTAATAAACATGAGGAAAGATAGCCAACATTTTTTAAAATGTCGAGACCTTATTTATTTTTCCACCACTATATGTCCTCTCATTCATTTCGTAAAAAATAACCAATTTCACATCCTAGAAATGTGTCTAAAACTTAAAAAAAAAAAATAAGTAAAAAAGTAAAAAAGTATAAGTTCGGGCGAAACCGAATTTTATATACCCGGTCGAGGTATCAACTATTGTCGTTCCAACTTTCTTTAAACTACCTAAGTCTATAGAAGTCTTATTTATTGTTAAGAGATTGTTGTGAGTATTAACTTGGAGTAAATTAACGACCTCAGTTATTGAAATGTAGGAGTTTTCGTATATCCGAAAATTACCTTTATACGGAAAACCGGTGCAATTTCATGCCGATTTGAATAATTTTCAACGAATTGCTTTTTCGTACCAATGTTATTAAATGCACCAAGTTTGGTAAAATATGACAACTCGGTTACCGAGATAAACATTTGTGGTCACAAGTGGGCGACGCCACGCCCAAAATCCAAAAATTTATTATAGCCAAATTTTTGCTCACTGGTTATTGCAATAATCGATTTTCAGTCAATTAGCTTCAGTAGTTACTGATTTATCGCAGTTTTCGTGTTTCTGTAAATTACCGTTATATGGGGGGTGGGCGCGGCTATTGCCTGATTTCAATGATTTTCAGCAAATTTCTTAGCTGGATCCTAAGCAAGGCTCGTACCGAGTTTGATAAGGAATGGTTAAGCGGCTACTAAGATACATTACTTCATCATAGGTGGGCGGGGTTACGCCCCTTTTCCAAAAATTTCATAATAATATTATTTTGTGCCAAAATTCTACTAAAATTTTCAACAATTTGGATCAGATATTTACTGAAATGTCATAGTTTTTGCATTTTTCGAAAATACCGTTTTATGAAAAGGGGGGCGTTTCGCCCATTTTCAATAGTAACCTACCTTGGATAAAGGGCAACCTATATACCAAATTGCGTTGATATATCTAAAATTTTGCTCGATTTATCGTGTACACGGACAGACAGACATGGCTTAATCGATTTCTCTTTTCATTATGATCATTTATGTATACATTTGTTTATATCTATCTCGATTCCTTTAGGCGGTTACAAACAACCGTTATGCGAACAAAGTTTTAATACCCTGTGCACAAACAAGTGCGCTCGCGTATAACAAATAAAAATAGAATAAAATACGATTTTTGGTATTTTCACTTAATTATTATTACTTAAATCGAACAAATTTTATATTTTGTTTGAGAAGGAATCGATTTTACATTGTGCGAAGCGTGGGGCACTCTAATGTAAAATTTGTACACTATTCGTGAAAAACCAGTGGTAGAGGGTGGTGGTAAATAATATCACTTTCACATTGCTTACCGTCTTTCTACGCAATTCTAATAGCACTCACGTTACTACATTTTCATATACTATGTACATACACATGAAGCACTGAGAGCCAGAGTAGCCTATCGGACATTTTCCAAAAATTGAGGTACAGCTTAAAATGCATTACTACACAGAATCGAAACGGTAATTGCCCGAGGCAAGCCCTTTCAGTTTTCTTCCATTATAATAGGTAGCATCACGTATGAAGGTACAATGAACTTTCAGAAAAATACCGTATTTATTATTTATAGATCATTCATTCTCATATTACTAAAAAAAATAGTAGATAGGCTTCTCTGGCTCGCATGGCCTCATATGCTCGTAAGTATGTACATTAGGGCGTCCAAAATAAGTAAAGTCGAATTTTAATGTCCTCACCCCTAGGATTGTTCTATATAAGAAAAAATAAACACCTGTTTTTAATTTTAGAATAACAATTTTTTTAGAAATGGTATAGAATCCTTGAATCACTATATTTCTCGATCGGAAAACTTTGTATCTGCAGAAGACTTCCAATAATAAAACCCAATTGTTCATTTCACCCTTTTTTCTTATTCATTATTTTTTTAAGTCCCCCAAAACCCCAAATAAATTCAATGGCGGACCCGTAAAAGTCGTTAGTATTAGAAAATAGTAAAATAAACAATTGGAAATTTCCTGAAGTGAAACGAAGTTTTCCGCTCTAAAAATATTGAGTTTCAAGAATTCTATACCATTTCTACGAAACACTGTATTTCCCCATAAAAAATTGATGAAAAACTTTGAGCGCTTTAAGCGACCTCTAAATATTTTTTGATTTCAAAACAAAAAACAGGGGTTTATTTTTTCTTATATAGAACCCAATCCTAGGGGGAGAGAGCATTCAAATTCGGACTTTATTTTTCACTTGCATTTTTAGACCACCCTAATGTACATACATATGCACATTTATATACTTTTATTTATACTACCGCCTTATCTCGATTGTCCGCCCGCATTCTTTTTACAATTCTTTCGAAGATAGAATGCGGTTTGATATGGAGCAAACAATACTGTTTTTTTTTTTTTGCTGTATTTTATTACACACGTACTTGGATGGAATGACTCCATGAAATGTGTAAAAATGTGAACAATCTTCGTGATTGCGTTAATGATTGCGATGGCATTGCTACAGCTGCCATCAATGGTGATAGCTGACAACAACATCCTGTGCAAATGAAATTTGTGATAACAGAAAAGTAGCAGAGAAATACATTCACGATTTGTTAACAGCCTTGATTATGTCAATTGTTGGTCGAATCGTTGAAGGTCACGTACTGTATTTTTTTTTTTTTTTGAAGGTCTTCATTTGTTTACAGTCCGAGCACGCCCACAAATATTTTTTAACAACATTGTCAAAAAAATTTAATGCCTCAAAGTATAAAAATGGCTATTACAAATTTATTGGCGCTTTATTTTTTATTCAGAGTTTTGTAAATAAAGGCACGTAAATAAACTGAAGTGCTTACAAGGGAAATGGCATTTATTATAAAGTTACTTACCATACAACAGGTACAAATGAAATACTTAAGAATTGCTTAAGCAACCTTTGTTGTGTTTTAATGCTGATACATTTTTTCATTTGTCTGACCGTATGAATTTATTATCTACTTTACTTTTTATAAGTAGAACGTATAGTGCAAAGTCAACAACCCGACTTAAAGAAAAATATTATATTGCTGTCACTCAGTTCGATTCACTGTCAATTAATTTTTAAGTAAGTATGTACATACATGGCATTCAACTGACTGTATACTATTTACTATCTTTATGTAAAAATATTATTTTAATGATGTAATGTGGAACGATTTTCCGTCATCCCTTGTTAAATTTGGTTTGGAGGCAAACAGGTTTCTGCGTTGTGCCCTCTTCAGTGTAATTTTTCGTTCTGAACAGTTTCTGTTTGTCCGTCACTATTTATAACCGCCGGATTATCCGCTGAGACGTACCTATCTAAGAACCAACGACGATTTAGCGCAGGTATAAATAGTGACGGATAAACAGAAACTATTCAGAACGAAAAATATCGCTCATTTAATAGTATAGAGTTGTAATCAAAGTATACGTTTTCGGAAATTTCATCATACAATTAATAAGCTTGATAAAGAGTTGACTTAACTTCACAAAAATGGTGAGGATATGTGTCTTCCCATCTGTCTTTTGGTATACCAACTGTATGAATTGATCAAAGTTTGATTGCGTTAACCCACAAAATTGAAATTTTGAAATAATTCTGTATATTATTAAACGTGGAATATGTATAATAGGTCCACTCAATATCAAAAAATTTTTCCGAATTGTTACTAGCACTTGCAAGTTTGCAAGAAAGAGCGAATTCGATAGCGTAACATCCCGAGAGAGCTGCAAATTCTTGGAAGTAAAAATTTCACTAAGTAGCAGGAATTCGCAGTAGTCAAAAAGCAAGGTACTTCATGAAACGTAATTAGTGAAATGAAAATATGGATGAACAATTTAAATCTAATGTATTTTTTTTTTTTTACTTTTATGACGATGGGAACTATTCCCAATTAAAAAGAAAATTGTGTGCCAAAACTTAACAAGCAGAAAGTGTCAAAATGGCGTACTGAATTTGCGTTCAATACTTTTTCTGATAATTTTCTCTTGCTCTCAATTTTACTCTCTATTTTTCTTTTACGCTCATGCTGCAAGTACTTACTGGAAAAGTTATTGAATGGACCTGATGCCACATACATTTATATTATTAAGAGCCATTACATTGAATTATTACATGTTTTTTGTTATTTTCTAACATAAATTTTTGTCTATTTTCGATAGATTTTTTCATATATATAATTTTTTGTATGTTAAAAACGAACGCTCTACATCAGACGCCCTACTACTTCTTTAAACGCTGTAACCATTTATATATTCTTTATTTCCCAATAAGAAAAATACATACAAAGAATCTATAAAAAAAATCAGTATGCAGTTGTATAGCTAATTTAATTGTAGAGTAATATTACGCAAGTTTCAAAGGGCGAAGAATTCGCAATTATTTTTTGTTGACGGTGTTACGTATTATATTCCATACAAAGCATGTTTGAAAATTTTTTCGGGTGCAACGTTACCTTCTCGTTTACGTCTAAAAATTATTGTTACAACTTGTTTTGTATGCATAAATACATTTTCGCACGAATTTTGACAGATGGTTTACGAGTTTACTAACTTACACTTTTTATGAGTTTACGAGGCTATTTAAGCAGTTACATGAACACTCTTAATAATATAATGAAAAGTAAAACCTTAAAAACCCCCAAAAAATCTGAAAACACTTCGTATTTAAGAATGAACCAACTTTAGGATGTCAAAGAAAATATTTAGCCCCAAAAATTCAATTCCGGCATGTATCCGTACATACAATAATTTAGTAGGTCGAGTTGTTCTAATATCTTTCCAAATTTAAGCAATTTTTGCAAAAATATGTATTTTAAAAAGGACAAAGAGTGGCCAATAAACAAGCATGCATCTCATTTGTAGTTATCTATTAAAATAGTAATGGTTTTGCGCCCACAAATAACTGGCACCTAGTAGCTTTCTATTTATGTAAAATAGTGGCGCGACCATTAAAATTGTCAGCCGTCTGCAATTTATGCCGCGCAACAAACATAGAAAAAGCCTAGTTTATAATCAAAACATGCAGTAAAGGCCAGAACAAAAGACAAAGCGCAATGATACTCATACTTCTATAAATGTGTGTGTGTGCGTCGCACCGTTTTATAGGCCGATGCAGCAAACCTACCACTTTTATGTAAACTGCATCAGTGACTAGAAAGCAAACCAAAGTAAACCAAGTAAACTAGGTCAAAATGTCAGTTGCCGCTTACGAGTGCAACGCTTGCACCCTTTAGTGAAAGAGTGCGCCAAATTGAAACACAAAAACAACAGCAAGGAATTGGAGTTAGTTAGAGCAAGGGTTTGTACTGAAAGCTTTGAAGTGAATTTCATCCATGTGAAGTGAAGTGAAATGCGTCCATGCACACACATACACCTCGATTTGAGTCTTAAAATATGTACATACCTACACACCGAACGAGGGAATACTGAATAATTTTAATTTATTCTACATTCTTGTCTAATTGTAGCACGGAAACTTGGTAATTTGCTACTAGTAAAAACATAAGGGAATATCAAAGACCTTTACACATGAAAATTTGCATATTTATGTTTGTTTGTTTGTTTTGTTTGTTTATTCTTTATTTTCTCATAACATTTTTACATTCTTCACTAAAAATATATATCAGTAC